TGAATATATTCAGTGACTTGGCCTCTACAGCATTCTGTGGCAGAGAATTCCATAGGTGCACTGCCATGTGAGTGAAGAAATTGCTCCTTATCTCAATCCTATATGACCAACTATATCCTGAGATTATGACCCCTCGTTCAGACACCCCAATTAAGTGAAACATTCCTCCTGGCATCTAACGCAATTAGAATTATATACATTTCAAAAAGATCACTCATACACAAAGTTTTCAACTTTCATCACAAGAAACACTATGTGAATCAATGATAACAAGGATTCACCAATCAACAAAATCAAAAAAAATTGAAACTACCAGAGCAATAAATAAAAACAAGTCAATCTCTTGCAATATGATGTTTCCACTTACTCCTCTTTTCCCATGGAGCTGTTATTGTAACTTTCATTAAAAATCTTTGAAAACTATATATTTTTTAAACTTAATCTATTTTTCCTTTTTAGGAGTCAATGCTAAACATCTGGTAAATCTGAATGATTTTAAATTGGTCCAATTTGAGATACGTTCATCCAAAGCTATCCCTTGAATACACTATTTCTTTGATTACAATTAAGCAGGTTTATTCAACAAGTTACTTCAACCATTTCCATTTATTCTAATTGCGTACAATGCAATTTATGAATTGCAATTAAAACTTGCTCTTGTGTTTGACTTGGGAAGAAGCAAGTCATCTCAAAATTCTTAGCATATTTTCTCTTTAAGTTCTTCTACATAAACACACCAAGAAAGAAGCAACTTCAGCTTTTGTACATTTACAATAATCTGTATATAGCAAAAAGTGTGTAATACATCATTATCTGTAATAGTGGAAATGGAAGTATAGTGGCTACGTTGCTGGACTAATAACACATACATGGACTAATGATCGACATTTCATGAATTCAAACCTCCTCACAGCAGCTTGGGAATTTAAGCTCAATTACGTAAGTGAATTTGGAATACCAAGAAACTATCCTATTAACATACAGAACAATCTGGTTCACTAATATCCATTAGGGAAGGAAATCTGCCATGCTTAACTGTTTGAGCCTATATGTGGCTCCAGCCAATGTGGATGACTCTTAACTATTCTCTGAAACAGCTGAACAAGTTTTTTTATTGCGTCAAAAGCACTATAAAAATTCTAATGAGAAAAGAAATGGACTAGCCATCTGGCATCAACCTAAGCATGAAAAATATCAAAAGCCACCCATCTCAGTCAACTGTCTAAAGTCCTTTAATGTCCTTGTCAAAATTGGGATAGCTGTCGTGCATACTAATCAAGTGACAGTGGAGTGAAACAGACATACTGTCAAAGACATGGAGACAGGAAGGACTACAGATGCTGAAAGCTAGAATCAATAAATAGGGAACTGGAAAAGCACAGCTGGTTGGCATCTGAGGTGCAGGAAGGTTAATGTTCCAGGCCAAAACCCTTCATCAGGACAGGGGAGAGGGAAGGGAGCCCAGAAATAAATAGAGGGAGGGAGGTGAGTGGGGATGGGGGTAGCGTAGGTGAAGTGGAGTTAGGTGGATGCAGGTAGGGTGTTACTGTGGTTAGTCAGTGGGAAGGGTGGAGTGGACAGGTGAGTCAGAAGATGGATAGGTTGGGGGGGAGGAGAGATTTTGAAGCTGGTGAAGTTAATATTCAGGCCATTGGTCTGTAAGCTCCCAAGGTGAAATATCAGGTGTTGTTCCACCAGTTTACATTTGGCCTCACTCTGACAGATGAGGAGGCCAAGGCTGGACATATCACCGGAGGAGTGGCAGTGGGAGGGGGAGTTAAAATGGATGGCAACCGGATGGTCGGGTTGATGGGTGCATGCAGAGCGCAGATGCTCCACAAACCGGTCCCAAAGACTGCGTTTGGTCTCCCCTGCCTCGAAGAGACCACATCGGGAGCAACGAATACAGGAAATGAGGTCAGATGAATTACAGGTGAATCTCTGATAGATTTGAAAGGATTGTTTGGGGCCTTGAATGGAGGTGAGAGGGGAGGTGTAGCGGCAGGTGTAGCACCTCCTGCGGTTGCAGGGAAAGGTGCCGGATGTGGTGGAGGGGTTGGTGGGGAGTTTGGAGCTGACGAGGGAGTCGCAGAGTGAACGGCCCCAGAGGAAAGTGGACAGGGGTGGGGAGGGAAATATCTTTATGGTGGCGGAAATGTCAGAGGATAATGCATTGTATTTGGAAGTTGGTGGGGTGGTACGTGAGGACCAAGGGGACTGTATCCTTATTGTTGTTGGAAGGAAGAGGGTTTGAGGGCAGAAGCGTGGGAAATGGGGAAGATGCGGTTGAGGCATCCTTAATAATGAAGGAGGGGAAACCATGGTCTCCAATGTAGGAGGATATCTGGGAAGTCTGAGAACAGAATGCCTCATCCTGGGAGCAGATACGGCAGAGGCGGAGGAATTGTGAGTATGGGATAACATTTTTACAGGAGGATGGGTGAGAGGAGGTGCAGTTGAGGTAATTGTGGGAGGCAGTGGGTTTGAAATGGATATCAGTGGTGTGTCAGTTACCGGAGATGGAGACAGAAAGGTTCAGGAAGGGGAGTGTGGTGTCAAAAATGGTCCAGATGAATTTGAAGGCACGGTTGAAGGTGTTGGCGAAGTTGATGAACTGTTTGAGCTCTTCGTGGAGAAAGAGATGAGGGATGGTGCCAGTGCAGTTGTTGAAGAGGGACTGTTCCATGAATCCTACAAAGAGGCAGGCATAGCTCAGGCCCATGCGGGTGCCCACAGCCACCCCTTTGGTTTGTAGGAAGTGGGAGGAATCAAAGGAAAAATTGTTGAAGGTGAGGACCAGTTCTGCCAAGGAATGAGAATACTGGTGGAGGGGGTCTGGATGGACCCATGGGTGAGGAAGAAGTGGGGGACTTTTACGCAATCCTCATGGGGGATGCAGGTGTACAGGGACTGATGATCCATGGTGAAAATGAGGTGTTGGGGGCTGTGCAATTGAAAGTTTTGGAAAAGGTGGAGGACATTGGTTGTGTCTCGAACGTAGGTGCAGAGTACCTGGACCAAAGGGGAAAGCATGGAGTTGACTCCCACAATTACCTCAACTACACCTCCTCTCACCCATCCTCCTGTAAAAATGTTATCCCATACTCACAATTCCTCCGCCTCCGCCGTATCTGTTCCCAGGATGAGCCATTCTGCTCCAGGACTTCCCAGATATCCTCCTACATTAGAGACCATGGTTTCCCCTCCTCCATTATTAAGGATGCCTCAACCGCATCTTCCCCATTTCCCACGCTTCTGCCCTCAAACCCTCTTCCTTCCAACAACAATATACAGTAAATGGAAAAGTCCTGGGGAAAATTGATGCGCAGAGATCTGGGTGTACCCTGAAGGTGGCAATGCAGGTCGATAGAGTGGTCAGGAAGGCATACGGTATGCTTTCATTCATCGGATGGGGTATTGAGTACAAGAGTTGGCAGGTCATGTTACAGTTGTATAGGACTTTGGTTCGACCACATTTGGAATACTGCGTACAGTTTTGGTCGCCACATTACCAAAAGGATGTGGATGCTTTGGAGAGGGTGCAGAGGAGATTCACCAGGATGTTGCCTGGTATGGAGGGCGCTGGCTATGAAGAGAGGTTGAGTAGATTAGAATTAATTACATTAGAAAGATGGAGGTTGAGGGGGGACCTGATTTAGGTCTACAAAATCATGAGAGGTATAGACAGGGTGGATAGCAAGAAGCTTTTTCCCAGAGTGGGGGACTCAGTTACTCGGGATCATGATTTCAAGGTGAGAGGGGAAAAGTTTAAGGGAGATATGAGTGGAAAGTTCTTTACGCAGAGGGTGGTGGGTGCCTGGAACATGTTGCCAGCGGAGGTAGAAGAGGTGGGCACGATGGCGTCATTTAAGATGTATCTAGACAGATACATGAATGGGCATGGAGCAGAGGGATACAGATCCTTGGAAAATAGGCGACAGGTTTAGATAGAGGTTCTGGATCGGCATAGGCTTGGTGGGCCGAAAGGCCTGTTCCTGTGCTGTAATTTTCTTTGTTCTTTGTTCTTTGAGATGAGCTCAGTGGGGCAGGAGCAGACAGAAACAATGGGTTGACTGGGGCAGTCAGGCTTATGGATCTTGGGTAGGAGATAAAAATGGGTAGTGCGAAGTTGGGGAACTATCTAAATATCTCCACCCTCAACCTGCCCATCTTCCTACTCACCTATCCGCTCCACCCTTCCCACTGGCCAATCACAATAACCCCCTACCTGCATCCACCTATCTCAGTCTCACCTACCCTCCCCCCACCATTCTCCCACCCCTGCCTATTTATTTCTGGGCTCTTTTCCCACTCCCCAGTCCCAACAAAGTGTTTCAGCCCGAAGCCTTAACTTTCCTGCTCCTTGGATGCTGTCTGGCCGGCTGTGCTTTTCCAACTCCAATTTACTGTCAAAGACATGACTTATAGCCAATGTCCTGGACACTTAGATAGCCATCCATTACTATTTCTTGCCTTGCCAGCAGGACAGACCTACTAAAAATTACAGCAGATGGTTTAGAGTCAGTAAGAAGAAGAAAGCTATTTAGCCTTTCCTACTTCAGTCTACCTGACAATGATATAACACACAGCTACATGCATGTTAAACATGGGAATAGCATCAGACCAAATCAAAATTCTGCAGTCCATTTGTGAATAGTGACAATAATTATTGATAACTGATGACTGTGAAAAAATCAAAGTAGAAGACTCAATGAACATTTGTGTTTCTGCCCTCAATAATGACAGGGCCTCTACAAACTGTCATTTTCAACCAGAAGTTTCAAGTAGATGATCCATCTCGGCCCCTTCCTCTTGACATTTAGTGGCATTACCATTGCTGAATCCACTAACATCATGCTGGGGCTGACTATTGATCAAACTATTAACTGCACCAGGCTGTTAATTGGCACCAAATCACCCTCTTGAATCTTCATGCCTTCGATCATTGAAACACTGCGGCGGGAGTGAGTAACATTAAAAGATGCACTGCCACAACTTACCAAGGCTCCATCAACAACACCTTCCAAATCAATGAGCTATACTACATAAAGGAATAAAGGCAACAGATGCATGGAAACACCAACCAACTTCACCTCCAAGCCACACAGCATCCTGATCCGGTACTGCTGTTTCTGGGTCAAAATCCTGGCACACCCTCCCTACCAGCACTGTGGGTTGTGCCTACATTAATCAGACTACAGCAGTTCAAAAAGGCAGCTCACACCACTTTAATAAGAGCAAATGGGAATGATCACTTAAATCTTTCCATTGCAGTGACGCTCACATCCCAAGCACGAATGCAAAAATTAATCAACTAAGGAATCTGACCTTGATAGTTTGATTATAACACAAACACGTATAATTTTGTAGTAAAATAATTTTATATTTTTCAAATGCATTACAGAATCACTTTCCACCCTGGCTTTATAGCACAATATACCTAACTGACTTCAAGAGTGTGTTTATACAGATCAGCAGGATTGTGGAATGAGTTATTTGAACAAAACACCTAAAAGAGGAAATAATCTGATATATCATAAATCTTATAAATCCTGTTTGAATTTGCTGGAAGCAATATACTGATTAAAGCAGCACAGATGCAACTGAACTAGCTCTTGAATTGTAAACAAAATACCTCTTTCTCTGCACAGTCTGGCAGCTTTGAACAGTTAATACAGTTACATTTATTTGTTTTCTGAAAGCTTTCTTTCAGCAAATAGCGCCTGTGAAAAGGACACATACTTACAACACCCATGATGCAACAAGGGCAGCAAAAAGCCACATTCTATTTCATTTGATCCATTCACAACAATAACACATCAAGGAGCTCTTGCAAGAATCATTTCCAGGCTTCTTGAAGAATGAGTCATTCCTGCCCATCCATCATACATTGTCTGCTAATGGTAGATTCACATACAAGAGCTACCAATAACAATGAAAAGCAGTAAGCATGAAAATGAGTGAAGCAAGACTGTCTGTATTCTGATCTGAAGGATTGTGAATTGTGATTGGAATTCTGAATCAAGGTTCTCGCAGTATGTCATTTTATGAGAGCTTTCTACATGTATGGCATTTTGGCTAGGCCAGCTAACAGGGCTGCATCCTACAGCCTTGTATGTCCAGCTCCACTTTATTCTCACACTGATTAATACATGGCAGTGGTCATAAAATAATCTGTACTCAAGTGAAAGAATTGCTTAGCTTATAACCAAACACTTGGGATGCTATATGGCAGTTAAAATTTAATTATTGCTTAGTGGAGGGTCACTGCAGCAAGCTTTGGTGAGATTGATTAATCTGGCAGTTGAGCATTTCAATCAGTACACACCATCATTTAATACCAGCATTATACCACCAGTGCAACAGTGAAGGAGTAAATAGCATCAATCCCATCCCGACATTTTACCTAAAATGCTTCCTGATGAATTTAGTTCGAATCGGGGAGGTGATGACCTAGTGGTGTTGTCACTGGACTGTTAATCCAGAAACCCAGATAGTATTCTGGGGACCCGGGTTGAAATCCCGTCACGGCAGATGGTGGATATATCTGGAATTAAGAAACTAATGATGACTGTGAATCCATTGTCGATTGTCAGAAAAATGCATCTGGTTCACTAAGATAACAAGGTGTAGGAGGTGGATGAACACAGCAGGCCAAGCAGCATCATAGGAGCAGGAAGGCTGACGTTTCGAGGGTCTAGGCCCGAAACGTCAGCCTTCCTGCTCCTATGATGCTGCTTGGCCTGCTGTGTTCATCCAGCTCTACAGCTTGTTATCTCAGATTTTCCAGCATCTGCAGTTCCTACTATCTCTGGTTCACTGATGTCCTTTAGGAAAGGAAACTGCCATCCTCACCTGGTTTGGCCTACATGTGACCCCAGATCCACAGGCAATTAGGGATGGGCAATAAATGCTGTCTGGCCAGCAATGCCCACATCCTGTGAATGAATAAAAAAAATTCAGCCACCCTTCATATACCATTGGCTGGCTAACCTTAGGACTGCTTTTGAAGAAATATAAGAACTGCAAAATCATGCTTCACTTGGTTTTGTAACTGTCTTGAACTAGTGCTGTGTCTTCCATGTTGGTTGAAAGTGTTTCTGCCAACAATAAGAGGTGGTAGTCATTTGAAAATTGCAGTTAGACATGTAGTACCACTTTCCAGGTCCACATCCGTTTGCAAGCTTTTCGTCCAGGGATTTGATCCTGTGGCCTATTTGTTTCATTTAGATTTATACTCTGTTAATGGCATTGCCATGAAGAATGCAATTTTGGGATCCTGATGGAAAGAATATGCAACAGGCATGTTCCTCAATTTGCTGTGAGCTCGAGGTTGAGATGGCTCAAGGTCAGAGAAGGGGTCTGCTCCAGGCAGCTTGGGAGAAAAGAGCTTCAGTGGGGATTTTTGTAAAGCCATGATGAGCTTAAGTATTTCTCCTGACCATAAAACTCTTTTACTTCCATATTGGTCTATCCATTATACCATTTCTACCCCTTCTCTTCTCCCTCATCGTCACTGATTATCTCCTCCCTTTTAATGTACCAATCCTGGCTTCACTCCTTTCAGGTTAAAAATTTGTGGTGTTCGATAAAGTCAATGTGAATTTAAAATGGATTGTTTCACCATTCTTCAGGGCAGTCTAGATTTGTTGATAAAATTAGGTGAAAGTACAATCTTATTAACTATGCATTACTCATTCTTAATTATTGTCATAATCTGTTAAGTCTGTTTGTGGTAATGAGCAATAATTTAGTCCTATATTTCTCCTGTGGAAGGAGGAGATGTTACATATTTGTAGCTATCACAATATTTCTGTGAAGGAGTCTCCCAAACACACTTGTTGAGGCGTTCTACCAGAGTGAGACCTTAGCTGTTGAGCTTCGTTGTCATCGAGCAGAACTTGTAATGTCTAATGAACCACCTATAATATGATTACATAAACATAGAACATAGAACATAGAACATTACAGCACAGTACAGGCCCTTCGGCCCTCGATGTTGCGCCGACCTGGGAAACCAATCTGAAGCCCATCTAACCTAAACTATTCCATTAACATCCATATGTTTATGAAATGACCATTTAATAGAACATAGAATAAACAATTTAAGGGGAACAGCCTTTTGGAAGACTCCTCTTTAATCAATAATTAATATAATGTAATATAATTATATAAACAATTTAAGGGGCAGAGCCTTTGGGAGACATCTCTTTAATCAACAGCCACTTGGTATCTTAGCATGGAAGAAAAGGCTAAATACACAGTATTATTCATTAAATTAGATTTTTAACCTATTTCAGAAGCTGGAAAAAAAGTACAAGAGTCTAAAAATTTTGAGTGCCTTCAACCCATTTTGAGGCTTGATGGATTTACTTTGAGAATGAGCTTAATGGCCAGGGTCAGGGAGAAGGGTTTATCTGAGGGGATATTTGGAAATGCGAGAGAAAGCACAATGCAAGACCTGTAGAGTAGTGATATGGGTATTGATAACCAGAGTGTAACAAGAGTGATAGCATATAAACATAGGAATGCACAAGAAATGAGGTCAGAATACTGCATTAATAACAAAATAAATGAATTGGTAAATGATATGATAGTTATTACAGAGATATTACAGAGGTATTTAACATTTTGGAAGGACAGGAAGAACGGAAAGGAGCTGGGTAGCTTTATTATTAGACAATAAAGCAGTACAGTAGTGAGAAATTATTTTGGGTTCAGAAAATAAAAATGTGGAATCAAGTTGGGTGAAAATAAAAAGTAGCAAAGAAGTCACTTTTGGGAGTGATTTATAGACTCCCTGACTGCATCTACAGTGTAGGACGGAGGATAAATCAGGAAATATTTGGCGTTTGTCAAGAACATATTGCAATAATCATGGGAGATTTTAATCATCATATAGACTGGAGAAATTAAATTCGCAAAGGTAACCTCAAAGATGAGGTCAAAGAGTGCATTTGGGACAGTTTCTGAAAATATATGTTCTGGAACCAAATAGGGAAGAAGTTATTTTAGGCCTGATAATGTGTAATGAGACAGGGCTAATTAACATATACATGTTATACAATCTTCTCAGTAAGAGTAACTTGATGGTCTGGAATAATGCCAGCTCTACCATTAATACCAAGCTGAGAGATCAACATTGGTTCAATAAAGAATGCAGGAGAGCATGCCAGGGATAGCACCAGGCATATCTAAAAGTAAGGTGTCCACCTAGTGAAACTATAACACAGGGTTACTTATAAGCCCAGCAGTGGAAGCAGCAAAAAATAGGCAGAACTAAGCAATTCTAAAGTCAATGGTTCAAATCTAAGTTTTGCAGTCCTGCAGTATCCAGTTGTGAATGGAGGTGAACAACTAAATGACAAACTGGAGATGGACAGCCCACAAATACGCTCAACCTCAAAGACAAGATACCTAGCACATAAGTGCAAAAGACAAGGCTGAGGATTTGCATCCATTTTTAGCCAGAGGTGCTGATTGGATAATTCATCTTGCCTGCCTCTAGAGGTTGCCAGCATCAGAGATGCTAGACTTCAACCAATTCAATTAATTCCATGAGCTATCGATAAATGACTGAAGTTACTGGATACTGCAAAAGCCTTTTGTCCTGACATCATTTCAGCAATAGTACTGAAGACATGCTCCAGAACTAGCTTCCACCTTTGGTTAAGCTGATTCAGTATACCTACAATACTGGCATCTACTCAACAATGTAAAAAATTGACCAGGTATGTACTGTCTAATAAAAGGAGGGCAAATCCATCCTGGTCAAATACCACGCTATCAGTCTACTCTCAATTATCAGCAAAGCGATTAAAGAGGTCTTTGAAAGTGGATCTAGCAAATGAACAACCTGCTTATTTTGAGTTCCTTCAAGGCCACCCAACTCCTGAACCTCATTATAGCCTTGGAAAAGAACTTGGAAAAAGTAGTTGAATCCAGATGTGAGGTGAAAATGTCTGTTCTTGGCATCAAGGCTGTATTCAACTAAGTACAGAATCAAGGAGTCTGATTAAAATTGAAGTGAATGGGAATTGGGGGAAAGCCCTCCACTGGCTGGAATCATATCTTGCAAAAAGGAATATGGTTG